AAAAAAAATAGATTTTCCATAAAATGGGTTTTGTGCGCAGTCACGCGACTTTTTTCTATTCTAAATTCAATTGAAATGGCAAGTTTCACAATATAAAAAAAGATCGACGATCGATTTTGTCACAAGTGATAAAACGAATGTCCACTATGCTTGACACGACACTTATAATCTTGATTTTAGATTAAAACATAAAATAATTATACATAATTCATTCAAAAAAAAATTTAAAAAAAAATAAAAAATAAAAATACAAGACTATAGCTGTCTACATTTCTGATTGAGATATGATGACACTAATAGATGGTTGCATTGTAGACCTCGCTATTAAAGGTAATAATAATAATAAATTTATTTACAGTCAAACCTCAACGAATTATAATTAACTGATTTCTTTCATATGCCAATAAAAACAATTATGTTCCATTTCATTCAAAAGCTTGCTTTCATTCATGAGTTTTAATTGTTAAAAATGCAACAACAAAAAACAGGTAAAATGATAATTCGTAAAAATTTTTTTATATATAATGAAAAACAATAATCAATTCAATTCAATTGTTGAGCAAAATTTTTTTAATAATCAATTCAATTGTTGATTAAAAGAATAATACTTTTCTTGAAATAATTTGTAAAAATATGTTTAAAAGCAATAATAAATTCACTTGAAATGCTGATGCAGCAACAATATAACCATGCTTTACTTAAAAAAAAATTTCTTGTTATTATTAAATTCAAATTTTTTTTATACCATTTTAATATCAATAGTATGATCTTCAGTTTCTCGTTCTCTTTGAAAAATTTTATTATTATTATTGCACAATAAAAGGTAAAAGGGCATTTATCAAAGAAATTTTTTTTAAAGACACTTTATTTACGACGAGTTGAACTTTGTACAACCTCAAATTTTCCCAAAAGATTATCACACTTCATCCTTTTTGTTTACCGATTTCCATAACTTTTCTCACGGTAATACGCTAATAAACAAATAAACAAACAAAAACCAAACAAATAAAAAAGTTTAAAAATAGAATTTTAATAGTAATTAACAGGGCGCAAAATGCCAATTGAAATTTACCGGCTCTTCCAATTTTTACCAGAATTTTGAATTCTAAGCCGGGAAAACCTGCAAAATTTAAGTACATTTTGCGCCCATTGGCTATTAATATAGTAATTGATTTTTTAGATGTATTAAAATTGATGATGTTTGTTAATTGTTTTTGCCTGAGGTTTTCACTGCAGTTGGGAAGACTTAGAGTATTCCGCCCAAAAATTATTCACTTACGCTACCATTGGTCTTACAGCCATCGGCATTTATGTCTCCTTGGCTTATGGTTTGTTTTGGACACATAGTTCCTGCCCCGTATTTTCTTTCTTTTCATTGACATATAAAGTTATAAATGATAAATATAACCCTTCGACTTGATGTATAATTTTAACATTGAAAAATCGAGGCGACGAGGAGTTTATTGAAATTGTTGTGTTTAAGCAAATAAAAACTTGCTAACGATAAGCTAGTACCCTTTTTATTAAACTCATTTGTTAGCTTGTTATATCACCAATCAAAATGATTTTCGTAACAATGATTATTAAATTTACCATATTAAATTGAATTGTGGCTCCCATCTTTAATTGTCATTATTATTATTTCAAACCATTGAAATATATGGTATGTTTCTACAATCAGTAAATAATAGGTTATTGGTCATTTATTTTATTGTTTTGGAAATAAAATTTAATTATTTATTGTTTGGAAATAAAAGATAGTTTAATTTAAACAAAATTACAATTCATATATATGTCGTGTTTATAGCAATGGATGACATTATTCAAAACATTGAAATGTATTGACATAAAATCAATTAACTATTGTAATTTTTTTTGGTAACAAATTTATTTATTATCAACAATAAACTTTAATTTTATTCCTGGCACCAATTATTTCGTTATTCTGCTCGTTTGTGAATTAATTACACAAAATTTAACTATATACATCGCTGATCGATCAGCTGCTGAAGTTTCAGATTCCTTTGATAAATTATTGATAACATTATTATTTCGAATATTTATTACAAAAAAGATGTATAGTTTATCAAAGATATTTGTTCTTTGATATTGAATCGACAACGTTTGTTAATACCACTCGTATAATCTTTATTTATAATTATATATATAATTTACCAAGCAAGATATTTGAATTCTTCTTTGATATTGAATTGAATGCTTGTTTTTATTAATAATGTCATGTTTGTTCGTGTTCAATATCAATGAATCTGAAATATATTCCGTGTAACATAAATCAACATTTTTTTATCTGAAAATTTAAGAGTTAATTGACGATCCGCGAATGAAGCAGAGAATTCTTATAGTGATCGGCGTGTGCAAAAATGGTAAAAAATCGTCAGTTGACAATGTTTAACAAATAATAAGGCACAATGTTTTGGTATTACAAACTTTATTCTTTTTATGTAATATATAAAGTAAATCTCATAGATTATTGTATCAAAATATTAAAGGGTTTGGAATGTTTCTTGAAAACGTTTATATGTAGGAAGCTGAGATTTCAAGAAGTTCACAACATATAAAAATTTGGAATTTTTTAATTTTCAGCCAACACTATCAAGTATTCTGACCAGGGCTATACTTTTTTTTTTATCGGTTTATCAACAAAAAAACTTTTATTTTACCAAATGAACCACATGTTGTTATAAGTCAAGTCAATAAAGTAACTGCAAAAGAATTTTAAAGTAGTATTCAACGATCTTGAAAGAATTCTAAGGTTGTTCTTTATACTTTTTGTGTAGACATGAGAGTTATTGTGTGAGGACGGTGAGATTTGGGAATTTTCTCATTTTATTAATAACAATTAGCATAAAAATTTTATATTAAAATGTCGATCATTTCTCCAATTCATTCGCGAATCAGCAATTAAGTGTATTTTTGTTTAATGTTTGTAAAAAACCATTTTCATCTATAGCATTAAATAAAATTACATTATAATATTCTGGTTTTGTTTTTTTCTAGCTGATATTCTGTGAATTTTTGTTGAATGCTAAGACCATATACAACCCAAGAAGCATTTTAGTCACAAATGATGGTTTGATCCATGTTATATTCTTGTAATGCTTCAAAAAGACTAAAGGAATTCTTTTCATTGATTATCAAGAGTTTAATACTGCACATATAACTGCCTGTGTAAATGCTTGGTCATGATTTCCTCCCAAACTACAAACTGAAAGTAGTAGATGGGTCCATATATTCATCCATTTTTTGAATGCATCTAAGGCTTTCACTAATCCTGCCTTGATCTTATTTACTAAATCCACATATTCATTTTTTTCATCTAAGCATTCATTAAGCTCTTCAAAAAAATAATTTCTGGTCTCTCTGGCTTCATTTAATTCCTCAATCCATATCTGGTAATTGATGAACCTGATGACCATTAGGGAATGTTTGAGAGATACCATTATGTTGTATCATAGTACAAGGATCTGCTGTAGTAAGAAAATAGGATAGTTGTTCATAGAACCATTTGCCAAATTGAACCATAATTCTAATTAAATTATTCATTTTTTCGTCCTGTATCCAGCTGAGAAAAATATGGCAATATCTCTATGGTATATCTTTGAGGGCATTAATTGATCAATAAAAAATCTTGCAAACATAAGGTGAATGTCTTTTCTGTCAAGATATTGTTTGGCTGTTTCTAATTGGTAGTGATTGCATTCATGAGATTCATTAAGGGGGTTACACTTATCAAAACAGCTAAAAATCATGTGTTGATCATCTGATTTTGATAAGTGTAACTACTAATTGGTATAATTAGTATAGCCATATGTTGAAATAGGTTTTTGGTAATTCTTCAATTGATACTTAAGAAGGGTCTAATATAACTTTTAATCATTTCTGTCAACTGTCATTGCTATTGCTGGTGCATCCAGACTGCCTTAACTTCTTTTCTCACTTTACCACCCTCCTCAAAATCTTATGCACCTACACCAGTCAATTTATGCTGGACATTCAAAATATTTCAATACCAAAAAGACCTGATGTGTCTCTCAGTTAGGGAGATTTAACAAAATAAATGGTCATTCATTATATGATGTTCCACTTGTTAATGTACCTATAATATTTTCTGAACATAACTAATCCATTCACTTTTAATTTCCAATAAGACATTTGGTTACCTTTACTGCAAATAATGCATCTTGAAATTAAGACATGCCATCAAATAATTAAAATTATTATGTAAGTTGAGCCATGTTTCTGTGTACTATTTAAAACTATTGAGAGAAATAAATATTTTTTCATAATAAAAATATAAAATGTTATCTAAATAATGAGAGTTATCCTTATCAGGTGTTGAACTTGGCTGAAAAGATTATTTCTCATTAACAATAAACCACAACAAAATAATGATTATTATTACCATTAGGTTGTTGTTTTTGGTATTACTTATGTTCTGCATAGCTTGCTCCACCACAAATCCTTCTTCTTTATTAAAATTCATATAACTATATTTTGCTCTTTTACTAATATTAGTATAGTATTTTTAATTTTATTGTTTGATTTTACTTACATTTCTGCATTATCATTTTACTCAAAAATTTAAAAATATTCATTATTGCAAAAAAAACCAAGGAATATAAATAAATTTTTTTATTTAGAAAAAAAAATGATGTAAAATTTTTACTAATAAAAATTGTTTTTGTTTCTGTATTGTTCATAATTCTTCATGTAATTTATTATTTTGTATGTCAATTTTATGACATACAGCTGGTGTGGTCATCTTTATTAAATATTCACATTTTGCTGGTTCTGCAACAGATAATATTTCATTATCTTTACCACACTCAAAATGTATCTACAGATAAAGTAATAATTTTTAAAAAATCATACAATAATATACTAACAGTGATCAATATTATTATTATTATCATTGCTTACCTTGGCTGAACGATTAGGCCCATTCCAACATCTTGTTCCATTATCATATAATTGTTTCATGTAATATTTTGGATCATCTTTTGATTCAGCTCCGTTCCACTTTATAAAATTTCTAAGAAATAAACAATATACATTTATAAGTTAATAGATAATAAATAAAATATTTTGTTGAAGTAAAAAAAATTTATTTCTCTAACCCTAAAGATGATGAAGAATGATCATTATTGCTTTTTTGTTTAACACTTTCTAACATACAAACAGTATAAGTATACCTGTTTTTTTTAATATTATAAACAATACATTTAGATATTATCATAATCAATTAACTGATAACAATACATTAAAAAAGAAAAAAAAAATACTTACTCTCCAGAATTATACGTAAAACATTCACCATCAAGCTTAGCAAATTCATCTTGTTTTCCATAATCCATAGAGAGTTTACTCTGAATTTCATTAATTTTTTTTTCTATATTTGTTTGTTCCTCATGTGCACTATTGTAAGCGTCTTGAGCAGCAGAAACATCTAATAATTAATTTCACCACATGTAAAAAAAATTTTTTTGTTAATGTTTGTGTTAAAAACAATAAGAAAATATAATATTATTATTATTACCTTTAGATTCTTTTTTATTTCCCTTTATTTTTAATGAATCACTTTCACTTTTATCAATTGCATAATCTGCTAATCCAAATGCTTCCAAGACATCATTAACAAACACACGAGATGTTTCAATAATCAAATTCCAATATGAATATTCTATTATTCAAGCATCGAAAAGGCTATTTAAATCATGTCACTTTTTTTGAATGAATATAACCATCTATATATCTACATTTTTTACTTACTAGGCTTTATTTCTTCTTCTACTTTATCATCAGGTATTTTATCATTAGATATTTTATCATTATCATCTACTACTTCATCATCATTATCATCATCACTATCACCATCACCATCAACATCATCACCACCATCTTCTTCTTCCTTGTGTTCCTTTTCATAAATACTATCTAAACTTTCGCCCATATTTTTTCCATATTCTTCCTTAAAATCATCATATTCTTTAATTGCTGATGTAACTGCAAGATCATGATAATTTGGATTATGACTACTCTTTAAATTTTTGAGAATATCAAGCAAGGCTTTAATTTGGTTATGCATCAATTCAATTTTTTCATGTAAAAGATGATTGGTTTCTTTACATTTCCTTAATCTAATAAGATTTTCTAATGATCATAATAATAATTAAAATATTAAGTAATTTTAAAGCAATTATGATATCAAGATTTAATCAAGAAAGCCTGTCTATCTATCCATTAATTAATCAACAAATAAATTTATTAAACCTTTTGTATTTGTTTGTAATGCATGATTTTTTTCTGCATCTTGAGCTTTCTTTAATGCAGCTGATTAATTGATTGATTTTTTAAGAAAATAATAATGATTAGGTTATTTTTGTTAAATATATGAGTAAATTAAATTTTAATTTTCTACCTAAACGTTCCTGAACTCTTGTCTTTGCAGCTTCAAGTTCAGTTTTTAATCTATTCAGGTTAGCTTCACGTTCTTCCCTTAATTTTCTACCATATTCAATATATTCCTGTTTTTTACGAACTCCCTATATATACAATAATTAACTGGATCAACCAACACATAATATATTTTATAATTGTGAAAGAAAACTAATTCATTCATTTATTTATTTATTACCTCAGTTTGAATCTTAATCAATCCTTCAACATGTTTACGATATTCTTCACCAACTTTTTTACAAACATTTGGACATTGAACTTTTCCATCATACTCATCAGATCCATCACAACATTCAGGCTCTTTACAAAAATATTAAATATCAATTAATTACTTGTTCAAAGAAATCATTAAGCTCTTAAATATATAAATTATTAATAATGCACACCACAAACTCCATCATTTACACGACTAGATGGGATATAAGAAGGAATGTGCCCAATGTTTTTACAATAAAATCGACCATTTAGACATGCTGATGTACCTATTAATTAATAGAAAACAGAAGAATAGAAATAAAATAATTTTTTATTATTATTTGATCAATCAAAGATTTACCTGGTTCATCTGATCCATCAGCACAATCACAATAATCATCGTTAATTGCTTCATGTGGTATTATTGCGGAGCCATCTAAACATCTCCAATTTGAATTCTCTCTTTTATATAAATGTAAATCTTTTTTAAAGAAAAAAACAATTATTTTTCTATAAATTTACTAATAAAAATTATTATCATGCATGACTTACTAGAATTTGCAACACCACGAATATTTTCAATTTGTTCTGCATATATAATTTGCATGTGAGAACATTTTAATAATAGTAAAGATGATGCAATTATTATCTGTAAATTATTCGATAAAAACTTCATTTGAAAAAATTTTAATTCGTGATCTGTGATAGACAGCACCATACATGAAGTCGAAACGATTTAATTTCGGGGGTCTAATACTAAATGGTCGAAATCGATTTTGGCCATTTTAATTTCGACTTTGACCCCAAAAAAGTCGAAATGGTCATATCACCTGATTTATTAAATTAATAATTTCAAATCATTTATCTTGAGAACCAGTGATCCAAATTTAATGAAACACGGCTCATTAGAATAGCCTCATAAAGGCGATTCGAAAAATGGTAATTTAATGTCCTTAACATCAATAAATGGCGAGTTATTGTAATATTATGGTAAACCAAAATACCTCAATGATCAGTGAATTAAATCTCATTGGACTCACTTCATTGAGACAGTTGTTTTATTCAAAATAGCCAGATAATGACCAAGTTATGAGGATTTGGAGCATTTGATTAATTTTCTGTATGCTCAGCTTGTTGTATGATGTAATTCGACCATTTTGACTTTTGATCCAACTTTGATCTCTTAGGTCGAAATATTTTGACTTTTGGGGTTTCAATTTTGACTTCACGTATAGACATCACTATTTTAGCAAAAAAAGGGGTACATAGTACCCCAGATTATTGTAATTGAGGTAACATCCAGGTCCCTCGTTTTTTTTTATATTAAGAAAACAGGGTCTAATATCTTTACCAACATGGTATTATGTAAAAAACACAAATTTGATCAAAAGACATGGGGTTGTTTTTGCTGGAGACAGTCCCATTTGAAGTAATTTGTCAATAATTTAGTATTAGTAATAAGCAGGGTCTTTAGAAAATTTATTTGAATAGAAAAAGACACAAAACTTTCTATATCAATTACAATTTAAAATTTTTGCTTTGTAATTTCATGACATAAAAATTGCTTTACCTGATTTTGGATATGACTTGTAATAAAAATTTCTATACCCAAAATAGTCACACCACTTATTTTCATAAAAAACTTTATCAAACTGGATGCTGCTCATGCATCAGTCAAAACAAGATTCTTACGTCGTGAAAATTAAATTGACCAAAACAATGTTGTGCTATTACTATTACTATAATACCTTATTATTTATAGATAAAACAAGTTTTTAAAGTTTTTAAACCGAAAACGTAACAGTGACTTTTGCGAAATTCTAATTAATCAATCAGAATTTTTAAAAAAAATATTATAAGCATACAGTTCGCTATCTTTATAACGAATACTAAGTAGACTTTCTATAATTAACTTCCCTTTTCCTGATTCATTTTTTTATAATAATTTCTCTCTATAACAAACATATTAGTAAGCGTTCGCTATAACGAACAAAGGCAGAAAAATTACATATAGGGACGGAAGGTTTGTTATAGAGAGTGTGAACTGTATACATGATATCAATCAAGGCTTGTACCTTTCTTTTTAAACCATTGTTGATTTAAGAAATTTAATCTTTTACAGATAAAAAAACAGATTGCGCTACATTTGTTTAACATACTTAATACTAACTTTCCAAGTCGTGAAATGCATACTAGAACCCAGTTTCATGTTGGCTTCAACATCTAGCTCAGCAACATCGTCTTCTTTACAAATTGCACTATTTAATTCATCCCAATAAATATAATGTTCTTTACAAAATTATTTTTCATTTTCAAAAAGCTCATTATATTCTTTGATTAATAAAAAAAAATAATCTTTATGACTTTCTCTTTCAGAGTTAGCCAGAGCACTGTTATACATTTCATAATTAATTTTATATACAACGCCCCTTCTTCCTGATGATAATAATTTATTAAATGTCATTTTAATATCTTTTTATGAATTTATTTGGAAAAAGATGAAATTATTAGTGAAGAAATCGAAAAAAGTTTTTTTTGAGAATAGTAATTTTGTTTTCTGTGCAAACAAAATAAAATTGTACGCATTTATTTTTTAATTTTTATAATAATAAGCAACTTTAATATTCACCGTTTTATTGCAAAAGATTTAAGTGTTCATCTACACACATCCACTTAGCATAGTTTTGGTGATGTTTTTTGGCACAAATCTTCTTGGAGAAGGATCAAGTATAAAATGCAGTGATATATATATATAAGACGGGATGTGAAATATTCAAGCAGTTTATTCTTTGTGATTTAGATGGGTCGATTCCGCTTTTTTGTTATTGTCGCCTTCAAACATGAGTTTGTTTTCGTATGTCATTTTCAAATTTTCTTAAATTTTTGTTGTTGTGACATTCTTCAACACACTTAATTCTAACTTTCCAAGTTATGAAATGCATACTAGAATCCATTTTTATATTAGCTTTGACATCTGGCTCCTCATTCCTCAGTAACATCACTCACTATTTTCAAGAATGTTCTCTAAAAACGTGATGATTAGTATAAATTCGTTTTCGCCGAATGATATTACAACCACTAAATTCTGCTTGTGAGAACATTGTGCGGCTTTCCCAAAATCGATCCCTTAAAAGGTTTGTTTTGCATGATGAGGATAGTAGATTAAATCTATTGAACAATAAAATATTATAATTTCGAATGTAATAGAAAATTTTGCTTATTTCAACACCTCCTCGTACCATATGAGTTATTCTGCGGCGTCTGTTTAGTAGATCGTCCAAATTAAAAATGTTAATGGTAGATCACAAAAAAGTTTAAAACTCAAAAAATGTTTAGAAACACTTTTCAGGTAATAATAAAATAATTTTATAAGAAAGAATCTATTAATTATTTATTAATTATTATTATTTCTTGATATACAAGTCAGGTTTCCTTTCTATACTATACAGCATTGGGTAAGAGTAAATAAATTTTATCTATAAAATTTTCTGTTATGTACACATACATATATAACGTTTTATTATATGAGGTGTGAACAATAAAACACACCAAATGTCAATAGTATTACCATTGGTATTTGGTGTGTTTCTATTGTCTGCACCCCTTATGTGCTTCATTCTTATATACTATTATTTATTGTCCTCTCAAATAAATTCCTAGTAACAAACCTCTCCAAATTTGGCATACCGAAACTGACAAAGACTACCAAGAAAGTCATGTTACATGTATAATTGATGAGGATATAAATTCCATGGTCATTGAGATTACCTCGCCAAATGTTGCCACCACATATATAACTTGTCCTGCTCAACTTAATCGAACTCTTGGTATAAAACTACCAATCCTTGTTTTTATAGTTAAAAATATGAAAAAATATTTTACTTTTGAAGTTCAAATATTGGATGATAAGAACATTAAAAGAAGATTTAGAGCATCAAATTATCAGGTAATAATTATCTTTTTCTCATATATTTATTTATTTATTAGAAATAACTTTTATTTATTTTTTTTGGTAATTTTAGTCAGTTACTCGTGTAAAACCTTATATTTGTACAATGCCAATGCGTTTAGATGAAGGATGGAATCAGATTCAATTTAATCTTGCTGATTTTACACGTCGTGCTTATAGCACTAATTATGTTGAAACATCAAGAGTACAAATACATGCTAATTGTAGATTAAGAAGAGTATATTTTGCTGACAGAATTTATGCTGAAGAAGAATTGCCTCCTGAAATGAAATTATGGCTACCAGTTGATAGGCAATAATTTCTCTTTATGTAAATTTTCATCAAGTATAATTATTATTTCAAGGTCTTTATAAAATCATTGTAATTAAACAAAATAAAAAATTTTATTAATCCATTAATTTACATGTCATCTTGAAACTTGAAATAAATCTATTTTGTTTGAAAAAAAAAACATTGCCCATTTGTTAATATGGAGGCTTTTCAATAGAAAAAACCCACTCATGATCTAAACCAATTTTTGAAAATAAAGATCTGCATTTCAAGGAATTTACATCTCAATATATACAAAGTGGGTATGATTTCTCATCCAAAAATATTTTAAGCAAATAGTTGTATATATACTGGTGACATTAACACAAAATTGATTTTTTCATGCTATGGTATTTTTCTATTGAAAGGCTCCCATAATTTCAACACACTTTTAACATTAAATATTAATATTAAAATATTCAATTTGTCTATAGTTGGCTTGGTTTAAAGACCTCCTAAATTTTGGGCAAATTTTAAAAGTATAGAAGTCATTTTCTGTTCTACCTTTTAAAAAAATAGCTCTATTAATTGATAGAATGTGTCTTTAGTTTTAATGTAATAGAAAGATTTTCTCAAAAAATTTAATTTTTTTATAGGGTTCTATTCTTTTTTAAAACATGCACTTTATTATGCTCATGAGAAATTTGAGCACTAGGGTCATTGCTAAATTTAGGCATGTTTTTGATCATCATTACTAAATTAGACTAATACTCGACCATCATAACTAAATTTGGCGGTAAGGAAAATAATTTTTTAACCAAACTCACCTGAAGCCATTTTTTAAAAAATTTTATTGCGTTTTAACAAATCACGAAATCGCGATTTTTGAAATTTGAGCGCATGGCGCAGCAATAAGAGGTCATTAGACCGAGCCAACCATATATAGATAATAATAATCTCAAGTGACACAAACTTGATTTTTTTTTTGTAAATTATGAGGAAATGTAAGTAGGTTTATTTATTTATGATTTATATTATTAATTACATGATGAACCATTAGAGCACCCAGCTCATTTTGAATGTAAATTTTAACATGATATAAAATTTATACTGATAATTTGTTAGATTATTTACATATATATTTTTGTTGCAAAATTCAAATACTAACACAATTTATTGTATTAATTCAAGAAATTATAGTAATTATATCTTATACATTACCAACATGGTGAAGAATACAAAGAATTGTTTAAAGAAACAATGGCAATAACTTCAGAGAGTAAGATATATTTGATAAGTATAGCTTCCTTATCCTTTTAACATGTGAAATATACATATAGCTTAATCAGTCTATTTTTTCTAATGAAATATATATTTATTATTTCAAGAAATAAAAGCAAACAAAATAAAAAAACTAAAGTTTTTTCATATAGTAAATTGGTGGCTATTAAATTTCGAGAGATTTCTCTTGGGATGAAATCATGAATTATTTATTGATTTTTAAAAATTAATTTGAATTATTGAAACATTCATTTTTAATTGTTAATAATAATAATAATAATAAAATAACATTTAAACATTAGAAATAAATCAATAAATAAATCAAAAATAATTTACTGATCTAAAATAAAATAAAATAAATTTAATATGGAGGCAATCCATATTTGCTTGGATCAAATAATTCCAGGGAATCAAGTTTTTCTGTTTCTCCATAGTTTTCAGGATACAACTCAACTAAATGAGGATCAGGAACCCAAACAACCTTAATAATAATAATGATAATATTAATAGCCATTTATATATAATATATGAATGTATAAATAACAACTTACATGCATCCCTGCATTTAAAGCAGCTTTAACACCATTGATAGCATCTTCAAATACTAAACAATTTTCTACAGGTGGATTGCCTAATCGTTCACATGCTAATAAGAATAAATCAGGTGATGGTTTACCATGCTTTATTAATGGATCATCACCACAAGTTATGCTATCAAACAATGAAAACAATTCTTGATTATTTTTAGCTTTTATTTCAAAATTGTACTTATGAGAACTTGTTGCTACCACGATTGGTATATTATTGCTTTTTAAATGTTTTACAAGCCTCTATTAGAAAAATTAAGAATAATGAAACAAATTAACAAATTATTTATTTATTATTATTATAAAATATTCATTAATATTTATTACCATGACTCCTGGTAATGGTTTTGCAGATGGAAATTTTTCAATCTTTTTTTTGAAAATAATATAAATTAAAAAAAAGTTTTATAAATTTATTTCAGATTATTCATAAAGACCTGTTTTTGGTTTCGTTCTTTCAAGAAATCTTCTATACTCATATCAATCCCAGTTTCTTTGATTATTAATGAAACTGCCTTTATATAAAAATATAAAAAAAAATTTTCATGACTAATGAATAATTATGATTTTTTTCTCTTATTAAATAATTATATTCAAATTGAATTACATCATATTCTTTAAGACCCATTATTTGTGATTTAAGTTTCCAAGTATAAGGTTGATTGTAACGAGAAAGCATTTCAGCTTTAATAAAATAAAATAAATTCATTGAACTTAATAAAAAATAAATAAACTGAATTTGATAAAATCAAAATTTAATCCTACTTGCAACTTCACTATAGATACGTTCTGTATCCTATATCATTTATTCATTACAAGAAGAAAAAAAACTAATTAGTATTGTTTATTTTAAAATAAAAAGTAGCACTTGTGTATAATTGTACATATTTGCGAGAGAGAATTACAAATCACTTACTAACAACAATCCTTTCAGATAAAAATTATATTAAAAATAAAAAACTAATTTATACAATTTATATATCTATATTTTATAAACATATATATTATAATACCAACCATCCATGTCAAATATACAATGTGTAATTTTAACCATTTTATTTTTATTAAAAATTTTTAAAAATTTAAAATTTTTTTACATCTCGATCCATGTACTACATTGTTTATTATAAGGTGTCAATGAATGAAATTAATGGCAAAGCCGTAAATCGAATGCCACAATAATAATAATGTTACATCTTTATCCTAAAACGTATTCGAGAAATATGCTAATATTACTTATTAGTAAGTATATAAAGGAACGAAGAAACGATAAGTTAATTACACCAGTGCCCGCCCATGAACCATACAAGAAAAAATATGCTGACTACAATTGGTGCCTGTGAGCCATACAAAAAAGAATTTATAACAGATTTATGCAAATTATCTGCATATTCCCCTGTTTTTATCAATAATCTGTGTGTTAAGTTACAAAAGTACACGACGGTTCAAATAATTTTTTTGATAGATTACCATCCTAAAATGTCAAACAACCCATTGAACCAATAAGGTGCTGATTGTTGTGAAACTTGTCTTTAGATTTCCAATATGGAATTTCCACCAAACTCCAACTCATCAACAAATTGTTTTTATCTTACGGCTCTCTCTATAACGACCCTTCCTATATAAAGACACCAAGTAAAATCGCGTTATAACGTACTTCTCGTTACATTTTTTGTTAAAAATTTTGTGATTCAACACAAAAAACTTTAACAGCTTTCTTTAATCTCATGCTTCCCAAAAAATTGTGTTTTAATATTAAATGCTAAATGTTAAGTTTAATATTTATTGATAAATATTTAATGTTAGGTATTTCTATAAAATTTGTAAAACGGACAGTAATATTAAAATCCTTTTTTGTAACATTTTAATTAAAAGAATTAGTTACTTGAAGTGGATAATTTGCTACACATTAATTTAAGTTTCTTTTTAATGTAGAAATGAATTTCGATTCTAAGAAGACCTTAGAATCATTGAATGATGAAAAAAATCATAATATTTTTCATTATCAATCAGTTTATTGCTATTACTAAAGCAGCGTCTATAGGCGATGATTGTTTTCGGGGAGATAGTTTGCTTGATACCTTGTTATCATTACTTTTACCATTATTTGCATATCTTTCTTTCTCCAAGGATTTAAAGACCACATGCTTCGCATTAGTTGCGAGGTTTGTTGCAAGGTTTTTCATACGTTCATACACAACATTCATAGTAATTTACTCTTTTTTGGCTCTTGAAAGCATTATCGAGTCTAATGCTGAATGAACGATAGCATTTATATGCTACAGCGTTGTAAATTTCATAGCAGGGATAACAGAGTTAATAAGTATGGAAACCTATTTTAAACCAAAGAAAATTGAAATTAAGCCTGAAACAGTAGCAGAAGATTTGGAGAAAGGAAATAAAGGAACTGGAATTAATCATGAAAAAGATTTAGAAAAATCAAGGAAAAAAGATCAAAGAGAATGATAGTAATATTAATAGTGATAGGTATGAATTTAAAAAACCTTGATTTTCTATTTACATTTATAAATAAAATTAACATTTTTTTATTTTAGTAACAAGTGGATCAAGTGGATAGACTTTTTATTTGTTTTTTCAGCTCTCGTATATGTATTTCTCAAATTATGTTTAGTTTTAGCTTTTTTAGGTAGAAATCATGATAGAGTCACAACTGAGATGTTATCATGGATCATAATTATTTCAATAGTATCATTAATCGGTTCATTAGGTGCAGTTAAGTATGGTCTTGAAATGAAAGGAAAAAATAATTTGAAAGGAATTTTGCAAAAATTTAAATGTAAGAAGAATAAGGACAATCAAGATAAACGAGATAATTACATCTGGGTTTTGTACAGTATTTTTATCTCTCTATTGGTTTCTTCACATATTTTGCTTTATTTAGAAATCGTCTTCTGGTTTTGATTTGAATAGTTATTTAAGTAAATTATTGTGGAATGCATTAGCATTAGATTTTACGATAACAAGTTTGATTTTTTTTGCAACAACACCACCAGAAGTAGTGGCAGTAAATCAACATTAAAAATTGACATTAATAACAATTTGAAAAGTGTTCAGCTTTCTTTTCGAAAAAAATTGTTTTTGTTCACATGAACTTTTTTCATTTATAATCACAAACTAAAGCAGTACCATTATTTTTTAATTCATGTTACATTACATTAAATTGTAAGCTTGATACCTTTGCGCAATTAACGAGACATTTATCTCGACGCCTTATGTGTCAATTCTTTAAAATCACAAGTAGTACTGTGCATTTTTTACAAAAATAGGAATGCTCTTCTTTTCATTCCCCAAAATCATAAAGGAGTATACGTGGGATGGTAATTATCTAATTACTGTAAATATGTAATTCGTAATTAACGTAATTAATTATCACTTTCACTCTTCAAAAACGTAATTACGTAATTAATTACGGCGACGAATTAATTACTATTACTATTGTGAAAACTTTCTATGCAAATCGTTGTTAACACTATACATGGGATGGCGATTGCCTAATTACCGTAAGTACGTAATACGTAATTATCGTGATTAATTATATTTTCCTCTTTAAAAACATAATTACGAAATTAATTACCGTATTACGAGTGACGAAACTAATTATGGGCGACGAAACTGATTACGAATAACAACGAATTAATTATTGTAAATATCATAATACAAATCGCTCCCGTTATAACAACACTCTCCGTACAAGTAAAAAAATGTCAGTATGACGAGAAAGTCATTATAACGGGAGCTCATATTAATGACACCTGACGAAATGTTACATGACGAGATGCAATTTACCGCAAAGAGCATAGGTGTCTGTCTATATCTTTGAAATGGATTAGTAGTAATTTGAAACAGTATATTTTTACATTTTTAATTTTCTTAGAATCCCAGTTTCCTACATAAAAAATTTTAAAGGCCTTTTATATATTCCGTAGGATTTACTTTGTTCGGATTTGCTATATATCATAGGAATACCAAACCTCCTTTTTTTTATTATTTTTTCTTTTTTTTGATTTCCATGTTTTTGGCATTAAGCATGATATACCTTCCTTTTTTTATTGAATGATATGAAATTTTTTTTTGTCAAGAAAAAAAAAAAGAAATATGGTAACAATTTTGGAACCTGACCCATTGCAGAACTCTAGCTGGATGTCGACGAAGGATCTGTAAAAACAATATTACAATCATCATAAATTCTATTGGATATAAAATCAAGGTCGAGACACACTGTAATAATAAATAATACAATAATATTAATTAAGTAACTTGTAACAGTTTTTTCTTTGATAAAAACTCCACGTTCAGTTCTTTAATAAACTTACCATCAGGAAGAAGATGATCATTTTTCCTCTGAGCATAAAAATCATTATAACAAACATTCTTATATTTGTTTATGAAAAGTTTAGAAGGTTTTTGAATTTCAGGGCCATTAAATGAGTTGGATGATTTTCCATTAGGAGCATATCCACAATCTACTTTGTGTACCTCTTTTTCCCAATGACTTGATAAATATGCACTTAATGAAGATGCCACCGCTTGGAATATTAAGCCTATGCCCATACCTTTGATCAGAGAAGCACCAGTAGAAGCACCAACTTTTACAACATGTTTACCTGATTCAGTAGCACCTATTTTTAAAAAATTTTTTACTACAACTTCGCCTCCTTCTTTTGTTATTTTTTCAGCTGCCTCTTGAGAAACAATCTTAAGAGTGCCTTTAGATACCTCTTGCATTGCTACCTTACTACCTTCTGCTGTTATAACAGATGAACTTTGCCACCATCACCCCTTTGAGACTAATTGCTTTGTCCCCTCCTTCATAGTTATTCGGGCTGGTTGTTGTACAACTATTTCTTTGGCTGTTGCTTTGGCAACAACACCTCCTGTGGCTGTTGCTATCCCTGTTCCTATTGCTCCTTTAGTAGATTCAATACCAAATTCATTATACCCTCTAATCTCAGGAATTACCATTTCATTAATGTATACCCCACAATATTTTACATTTTTTCCACCTTTTCCTGGTTTCCCTCCTGTTCCATTTACACCTTTCTTACTCTTGATATACCTTCCTTTTTTTATTGAATGATATGAAATTTTTTTTTGTCAAGAAAAAAAAAAAGAAATATGGTAACAATTTTGGAACCTGACCCATTGCAGAACTCTAGCTGGATGTCGACGAAGGATCTGTAAAAACAATATTACAATCATCATAAATTCTATTGGATATAAAATCAAGGTCGAGACACACTGTAATAATAAATAATACAATAATATTAATTAAGTAACTTGTAACAGTTTTTTCTTTGATAAAAACTCCACGTTCAGTTCTTTAATAAACTTACCATCAGGAAGAAGATGATCATTTTTCCTCTGAGCATAAAAATCATTATAACAAACATTCTTATATTTGTTTATGAAAAGTTTAGAAGGTTTTTGAATTTCAGGGCCATTAAATGAGTTGGATGATTTTCCATTAGGAGCATATCCACAATCTACTTTGTGTACCTCTTTTTCCCAATGACTTGATAAATATGCACTTAATGAAGATGCCACCGCTTGGAATATTAAGCCTATGCCCATACCTTTGATCAGAGAAGCACCAGTAGAAGCACCAACTTTTACAACATGTTTACCTGATTCAGTAGCACCTATTTTTAAAATATTCATCAGGAAAACTAATGTTGAGTATTATATGTATAATCATCATATAAATCACATATATTGGTCTATATGCAATTTATTCATATTTTTTTTAATATGTTAAGCATAAGTTATTTTATACAATGATTATATGTATAATATTTACTTATAATACTAGTATTAGATTTATATGTATTTTTCTAAGCAAATTATACATAGGAAAATTACACAACATATTCCATGCAAAATATCATGGAGATTATTTGTATAAAATGATTCTGCATGTGTTTGATGCAGAATATATGTATATTACAATATATGCAATTTATTCATGTATTGTTGTGTTTATTATACTTATGGTGATCTATATGTATAATATATGTAAGTATATGTAGAATATATTATATTGATTCTTGAGCATATATTCTTGGCAGCATATACACATATTATACATATAGTTCTTGTAAGTTTTTACTTTCAATTGGCATCATTAACAGTTAACAAGGGTGGGTAAAGTATACCCTATGCAAATGTGGGTGATCTGTGTATAACAGTTTTTTTTTCCCTGTTAATTTAGATCACTAATAGATTTTTTTTTGTATTATTTTTTTTTGAATAAAAAATTTAAAAAGCTTCTTTAAATCATATGCCAAATCTATTATTATTATTATTATTATTCTTTTAGGTGAGTTTATTTATTTTTATTTTGCACAATCAGATCATGTTATGAGAGAAAAAGTATATAAGTCACTGCTGTTCCTAGGTTGGGGAGGAGTTTAAAATTAATATTTCAAATTTCAAATTTTGCAAATTATTTAAAAAAACCAAATCAAGTCAATTTTGAGGAATTTATTAATGATTTTAGGTTCATTTTGAAGCTACAATTGCACCATCCATTATATTAAAAAGTCACATATTGTTGTTGTGAAGGTTTTAATGTTGATAATTTAGAATAAATTGATGTTCTTGGACTCATTCAAAAGCCAAAGTTCTAACATTCATAATACTCAAAATCACATGTTGTTATAAAGATAAATCATCCATCAATAATTTAAAAGTAGATGTCTAAATTATGAAATTTTTATAATTAGTTATTCAATAACAATTGATTTAATCTCCACCCAAATTCAATTGATTAAAATAAAAACTTCTGTAGTTTTACCTTCTTAACCTACATATTAATATCATGTTTACATATGATTGATCTATAAAAAATTACCTTTGATTTTTTTAAAATCTTTTGTACCCAATTGAATCCAAAAATTCAAAAATTTGCAATTTTATCAATTCTTGAGACAAGTTGATGATCTTAGACTCATTCGAAAGCTAAAGCTCCATAATTCATTATACCAAAAAAATCATTATTGTTGTTATCTAGGCTTTAAAGATTGTAGACAATTTACAATATCAACAATCTACACCTAAATTACTCACATAATCAATTAATCATTATCATTTGTTTTAATCTTCATCAAAATTCAATTGATTGAAATAAACTTTGTAACCTTACCTCCTTAATCTATATATTATGCTTAAACATGATTATCATTCATTGATCTAAAAAAAATTATCTTTAATACTTCTAAACCTTTCTAACTGATCTGAATCCAAAAATTTGAAAATTTGCAATTTTACCAATTCTTAGAATAAGTTGACGATCTTAGATTCATTCGAAAGCTAAACTTCCATCATTCACCATACTAAAAAATCATATATTATTACCATGTCTATTTTAAGATCGCCAAAAATTTAAAACATCAATAATCTATGTTTAAATTATTCATATAATCAATTAATCATTATTATTTGATTTATCTTAACCAAAATTCAATAAAAATTTTTGTGGCCTCACCTTCATAGCCTACATGTTATGCTTATAGATGATTGCTGTTCATTGGTGTATAAAAAATAAGTTTGGATTTTTTTTAAATCTATTTGTACTCAAAATTTGAAAATTTGAAAATTTGCAATTCTGCCAATTCTTGGAATAAGTTGACGATCTTAGATTCATTTGAAAGCTAATCTTCCATCATTTATCACACTAAAAAAATTGTATATTATTACCATGTCTATTTTAAAGATCGTCGAGAATTTCAAACATCAATAATCTACACCTAAATTATTCATATAATCAATTATTTGATTTAATTTTAACCAAAATTCAATAAAAATTTTTGTAGCCTCACCTTCATAACCTACATGTTATGCTTATAGATGATTACCATTCATTGGTGTATAAAAAAATAGTACTGGATTTCTTTTAATCTATTTTGTACTCAAAAATTTGAAATTTGAAAATTTGCAATTCTGCCAATCCTTGAGGTAAATTTATGTTCTTAGATTCATCCGAAAGCCAAATTTCCATCATTTATCATATTAAAAAATTGCATGTTTTTATTATTTAAGTTTTAAAGATTGTTTACAATTTAAAATATAGACCTAAATTATAAAATTTTGACTCATATAATTAGTTATTCAATAACAATTGACCCAATCTTCACCCAAATTCAATTGATTGAAATAAAAGCCTTTATAAACCTTCTTAATATACATATTATGCTCATACATGATTATCATTCATTGATCTATAAAATTTTTTTTGATCTTTTGTAGCTGATTTTGTAGCTGACTTGCATCTAAAAATTTGCATTCTGTCAATCCTTGGAATAAGTTGACGATCTTGAACTCATTTGAAAGCTAAAGTTCTATCATTTGTCATATTAAAAGATTGCATATTGTTATTATATAGACTTTAAAGATCGTCAACAATTTAAAATATCAACTACTCACATTAAAATTCCTTAATTTTGATTAAATTAATAAAATACTTAACCAATTGAAATGAAAATACCACTCTATTAGGATAGTTTCCTGGTATGGTTTATGCTTATGGGTGTTTGCTGAATTATTCTTGTACTTCAGATTTGACTCATATAACAAAAAAAAAATTAATTATTTACTGATTTGTATACTCATTTATCAATGTAGGAGTCCATTTAATCCATTAAATTATTATTACCTTTAGCTTTCTTAGGCATAAACACACCCCATCCATAAGGCTGTTTTTATGATAGTGGTAATAGTTAATCCAAAACCCACTATTCTAGTTGAATTAAAAAGATATTTATTTATTAACGGAATTCGAATTTACTATAACGCAGATCACCAAAAATTTACAACCCTCCCTATTGGCGTGATTAAATATTGATATATTTTGTTTTGTAACACAAAATAATAACAATCTTTAAAAAAAATATATATACGTTAAGAATGTGGAGGGCAATTTACATTGGAATAATAATACAACAGTATTTATCATTGCCATTATCTTTATCATCATTGTTCACCAGTATTAATTAATGAATTATTTAATTAATTTAACTTTTTTATAGCGAGGCAACAAAGATTACATTGTTAGTTATAGAAAAAAATGACCCAGAAAATGATAGAACATACTTAGAAAATATTACATAAGAAGCTTTCCAGAAAGACAAAAACTTGTTTAAAGGATCCAATAAAGCATTTACATGTGTATGAGCTATAATCAATACTTTTTTTGGATTACCTATGTTTGGATGAAAGGATTATCAAATCTTTAATGGAAAATTCACAGTAAAATGAATTTAATATATTATCTATATTTATTTTTATTAATAGAATTGAAATGATGATTGATTTTTATATTTTAAATCATTAATATTTATACAGTAATCATCATTTTACCCCTAACATATATCTTTATTCATGAATACTATGTTAATATCAACATTGGTAAGAAATTTATTACAATTTGAATTTATTTTCTCCAATTATAATTATTTATTTATTATTAACACAAACCTATTTATTTTTTTAACATATATCTTAATGAATATATTAATGTTAATGTTGGTAAGAAATTTATTATGAACAAACTATTTCATTCCATGTCATTCATCTACTAATCATTTATATTCATATTTTCTTTTATTTATATATTAATCTTTTTAACATATACATATATTTTAAGAAATTTGAATTTATTTTCTCCAATTATAACTATTTATTTATTTATTAACACAAAATCATTTCATTTACTTACTAGTGATTTATATTTTTTTTTCTTTATTTATTTATCTACTATTAACATAAACTATTTTGTTCCATTTCATTCATCTACTAATAATTTATTTTTATTTTTCTTTATTTATTTATCTACTAATCATTTATTTTTTTAACATTTATCTTTAATGAATATATTAATGTCAACATTGGTAAGTAATTTATTACAATTTATAATTAATTATTTATTTATTTATTTATTACTAACAAACTATTTCATTCCATGTCATTCATCTACTAATCATTTGTTTTTTTAACATATACTAATTTTAACATGACAAGAAATTTATTACGAATTGGTTATTTATTTACTACTAACACAAACTATTTATTTATCATTTTATTTTTTAACATATATGATTCTTATTTATATTACTTAATCTTTAAATTATATGTACAATGATCAAACAGCTGTTCATTTAACCCTACAATTGTATGCATTTTTGAAGATTAATTTTCCCAATGCATAAATATTTGTATTTTCAAAAAATTAAATAAAATAAACATAAGGTTTAAATATTTACATTACTATCAGTAAATTTTGAATTATACAATTCTGTGCCTTTTTATTATATGCAATTTATATGTGTGATACTAATTTAATTTATTATACTTATAACATATAAGAACTATATGTATAATACGCAAATCATGACATGGAAGAATATATATATGAGAACTATATGTACAATACTGGATTAGTTCACAGATACTATAGGTGTAATTTATTATACTTATAATACATAAGAATTATCCATATAATGTGCAAATCACATTACGCAAGCATAGTGGAAATTTGAAATGTTATACTAATTTTTTATATTGTGCAACGTAGCTTTACAATACACGGCAAACCTTCTGGCAATAAAAAGTAAGTGATAAACTGGATTTGAATTTGATCCGAACT